GCTGCAAGGAGAATCGACTATCGCTGGACAAACGAGAAATAAGACTCGGCGTAAGGGGAAGTAAACGGCCGGTACGCAGACCTCCAGGTGGATGGTATGATGAGTTGAAAAATTTGTTTGAACAACATAAGGGAGAATCGCCGAATGAACATGGACTCGTCTTCCTCCAGCGATGAATGAACTATTATAATTATAATTATAACTGCCGACGATTCATTCAATCTGCATTGTTCATCCTCAGGGAAAACAATAAACAATAACGACTTTGCCATCTTCCTATTCTTTGTGTTGAGAGGCATGAAAGAGTTGCCTTTGGTAAAGAAGCACACAGATAATTGAACTTAAATAATCATGAGATAAACTTACATGGCTCGTAATCTAGCCGCACATTGATTTTCTCTGATGGCCTGTGATTTGGACTTTCGCACCACATCGGGCCAGATACCTTGCCAAGCTGCACCTTGAAAATCGTGGAGCTTTGTTTCATGATCGTAGAACTTGCTGCAACTGGTCTTAGAGCCGAGGCGTTGCTGCCGTAGCACTCTATTACGACGAAAGATCGGTGATCAGGAACGTATATCGGTCTGTCGTATTCGTCCACAAACTTGTATTTCGCAACCAAGCTTCCGCCACTGTTCACTGCTCTTTCCTTTCGGTCGAGCCTGCTGATCGAAGGATCTCAAACACAACTTATCGGTTAGGAAATTATGTTTTTAAACCATATAAATATGCGTCAAATCTTTATGCATATGACAGTTAAACGTTATGGAATGAATGAATGTCGCCTTACCATGTGGAAGACAGGTGCATCGTGAGAAAGCAACCGCGGCGACTGCAACATGTAGGAGCCGCGCAATGAATGACGCCATGTCGGTTGTCAATGTCTTCTACATCAACAAAAATGACTCACTGTATTCTCTGCTAGCAAAACTGAAATTGTTTTTAAAATATGTCGATACCGGCCTGAAATGGCGAAAACATATAGTTTAAAGAAAGAAAAATTCGTTTCTTACTTTACACCGATATTGCAGACCGTAAGACAGCTGAAAATCTGACACTAGGAAGTGTCAAATATTGCACCAACCCCTAGCCTCTAAAGGCCTACGGGGACCATTTAAGCAAGCCAACAACTCCGAGGTATTTAAGCACTTGTAATGCATAGCGCATGAGACCGCATTTGTTAATTAGATTGAACAAAGAAATACTCAAGCCCAAACGCCACAATCCATAGGCAGAAAACAAAAAGTAACCCGACGTTCTGTGGTAGACTCCGTGAATGGAGTTTTTTGAAAACTGAAATTGTTACCTTAAGTTCTTAAAATCAACAGCAGCCGAAGACGTCGTGACTCATGCTGATCTACGCAGATTTGTTTCAGGCATCTTGAAAATAGAGTTTAAAGAATTCTCAACAAAATTAAAACACTGTTGCGATGCGCTTCAGCAGTCAGAGATTAAAATGCACTTTACGACAGAATTAACTTTAACCTGTCCTAAACATTGGTATACAAAAGATGGTGCAATTGAAACCACTTGCTTGTTTGATCCACCGATATTCAGAAAACAGATTGCGCCAGACACAACAACTCGTTTATTTATCTCTCGTTTGGATCGCCCTTAAATACCTCAATATTCGTTTCAGGCTGCAAGCAAGTTTTTCCTATGCTTTCACTGAGTGAGTGGGTCAAATTCAATTTAGTGAGCCCTAAAATACACGGTAAGTTGACATTATTTAGGTGTGACAAAGAGTAAATACAAAACAACAAATAAGCAGTAAAAAATGGACCCATATTACGCTGATCACCGTCTGGTTCAAAATGCTGTTCCTTCTCGAGACCAATCTAACATCATCCAGCGAACGTAACAACTCACTTTCGGTAAGCTCCAGTCGGGTACCTTGTTTACATTCCACGATGAAACAGTTTACGTCATCTGCGCAGAATTTCAACCTCTTGGAAGAGGCTGCACGGTATGTTAAGTTGATCACGACGCTATGCCACGACCACGCGCCTGTATCTATCCTGGACGATCAGATGGTAACAAAAGAAATCTGTCAAAGCCATGGAGTTCCCATGAAGCTGAATACTTCCACAATCTGCCATAGAATGATACGAGGAAACAGCGAAGAGTTCAGGGGTTGGTTCCTACTGCAGCTGACTGCATACGACGTTGGCACACGTGACAATGTCATTTTCCTGACGGGCAATTGGCTGAGTTTACCGGAGACCTCGTCACTGTCTTCAAGCCTCCGACTTCCTCATCCGTTCTTAGGACCGGCAACAGCGGAGTTTCCATCATTCTGTGGATACCACATGACGACTCCGCCATTCTTCAATGATTAATGAACCGAACGACGCGAGCAGTTCATGGTAATACTTTCCGAAATGACGTCTTTCAATCCTATTTACTGTCCAACAGTTTTGTCAACAATGTAATGACGAATCTATATTCTCAGCATTCAATTACGCATACGTTATAATCCTTCCATTGTGTCTACCTTATTCTGCTGCCATACAGCATCACTAACATCATTCATCAGGACGTTTCGATGGAGTTGAACGCTGCTGGCCTCATTTCGTTTTATGTGAGGTTTCAGCCGTCAAGTCATGTTCCATAATAGCCTTTTGACTCAAACAGATGTAACTCTTTGCCACTACTATACACTTGGCTGAGCATTTCCAGCATCTGATCAACAGCTACCGCCTCCCCCTCTCCGGTTCCAACCGTTAGTTCTCTGTCGACACCAGAAGTTAGTACATATTCACACACAAAACTAGAAACCTAAAACGTATTGCCACGTCTCAAGGAGAAGAATGCCAGTCGTGTGGGTAAAATTCTTCCCGAGTAAATTAAGTATGGACAAACGGGAAGGGTAGAAAGTTACATGACCCGTTTCATCAAATGTAGACCTACAAATATTTCTAAGGATAATAGAAGCGTGGTGTGATTGCCTATATACTGATAAGGGTCGGCTGATCGAAAGTTTCGGTTGTCGTGATACCACACTACCTTCAACGGCCGGAATACTTTTTTTCCTGAAGTTTCCTGGAAAGGCTGAGACAGGCAGCTGATTGGCACTTCGCCCAAATCAAGCATACTTTTGAATGGGGTACTCCTGCTTCAATAAAATTTTCACTCTGGTAGGACAGTTGAGAAATGTTTATGAAACTAGTTGCCTTACATTGCCAGTTTTCTCCACTTATTTGGAGAACTGGATCGTTCAACGATGTGAAAAATCTTAAAATGCAAACAGGTGCCTTTACACATTGTTTAAATGTTGCAAGAGATGTGTGCAGAACCGTCTGCTATTGAATTAAATGGATAACTAACTAAGCAGTTCCCTATTTGATGTGTTTTTTGCAGCGGAGATGTGCTTTTGCCCTTCAACACTGTTTTCGACTTTCTTCCCTGAAACGGTGCTGACCCTGAAAAAGACAAATGTCTTATTCTAGAGGGACAGTTCAAGTGGTCCGATAAGTGTGTTGCTGATTAATGGTATCCGAATGATCTTGTTGTAGTGAGTAAGACGAGTAGCTGCCTCTGTCACGCAGCTGCGAAAGCCTGCCTCTTCCCTAACGTCCGGAAGTCAAAAACTACGAGGCATCCATGCACAACTGATCGGCAAGTAGACCATGGAGGTGCAGCCTTTGAGGTTGACCAGTTTACGTGTCTCGCCTCCGTCACCTCCAACGATAGGAGATAGTCAACTGGGAGGATCGTGCTAGCTCATGTGCTTCAGGGAAACTGTCCAGTATCTAGGCCGAGAAAGGAGTTACTCTTTAAACAAAAATCCGCCTGTGCATTGTCTCCATCAGGTCGTCGTGCTCGTTCACGGCATACAAACAGCTTTTCTAGGAAAATGCAAACGAAAATGCTCAACGATGGTTAAGCTTGGTACAGCGGCATTTCTATGACGCATAATGAGAATTAAATGGCAGGATTGAGTAATTAAGTAATTAATTAATTAAGTAATTAATCAATTAACTAATTGACTCTATTTTCTTCCGGGCACACATGACTTAGGTGGATGTGGAGATTAAGTAAAGGAGGTTGTTGCTGTTAGACAAACATGTTAGGCATACATCATTATTCAAGCACGTGTGAGCTTGTCGTGTGGAAACCGAAACAAAGCAGAGACGTCCACCAGAAGACCAGCATTCAACAAACA